CAGAGGTGGGACTAGGACACTACAGCTCGAATCTCAGTCAAAGTCGGCCTTCCGATGACGAGATTGAAAGATGAGGCCATCTTCACTACCATGAATCGGACTGGGGAGTTACATACGTTCGTCCGGAGCCAAACGCCACGTTGAGCCGTAGTACTCCTTCCACGGGTACCGGCTGGTTATTGAAGCCGTAGATGGGCCCATCATACTTTTGCAGGAGGGCAAGGTCGAGTCCGAGGCTCTCAAAGCAATGATAATACATTATGTCTGGAGCACTGCCGGTGTCAATGAGCGCACGCTGGACCTCGCAGTTGTTAATGATGACCGAGGTGACTAATGGATTGTTGTGGGGCGTGACGACCCCCTCGAGGTCGGCCGAAGTGAATGTCACAGATTGGTTTTTCCAATCCTCGTCGATCTTTCTTTTCTGGGTTGCATTATGGTGTCTGACCTCCCTCACGTACAGCTTTTATTGTTTGGCACTTGTGCCACCTGCTTCGGGTCCACCTGTTATCATGTGAATAATTCTGGATGGGGGTGGGAGAGGTGGTGGTGCTTGCTGGTATCTTACTCCATCTCTGTTGTTTGCTGCTCGGGACCCCTGGGGTTGCCCTTGTTCTTTGACAAACTTTTGCAAACTTCTGTTCTGGATGTATTCATTCAACATTCCTTTCCGGGCCAAGCTTTCCAGCTCGGACTTCAAACTTTTGCAATCTTCGGTGGTATGTCCGTGATCTTGATGAAAGTCACAGTATCTGGTGTGGTCTCTACTTGCCGCTGGGCTCTGTAGGGGGGCTGGTCTCCTCAGCTCCATCTTATTCTTTATTTGCATAAGAATTTGTGATCTCGGAACTGTGAAGGAGGTCCATGAAGGTGGCCTAGGCCGCGTTTGCAGGGCGCTGGAGCCGAGCCTGTTTAGCTTGGGAACCGGAATTGGGCCTCGATTCTGTGTGGGTTTGAACTTCTTCTTGCTCTGCCCTTCTTCTCTCCAGGCGGGAGTTCTAGCTTCTTTGGGGGGCTGGGGCTTGGAAAGGACATACTCTTCGGCTTTAATGAATTTGAGGGATCTCTGATTGACTTCGTCAAAAGTGGTTGGGGTGTTCTTGATCAAGTTATCTCGAAACCGATCATGGTTGAGGCCTTGTATCACGGCAGTTACTCCCACTGTTTCATCGAAGGCATTGACCTCTAGCATGGCGTCATTGAACCTGTTCATGTAGTTCTTCAAGGATTCGCCTTCTCTTTGTGTTATGCGCATGAGCTCGGGTGTCGTCTTTTTTATCAACCTTCTGCTCAAGAATTTGGTGGCAAAGAGGGTGGCCAGCTCGGCATATGCATTAATTGAGTTCGGGTGCAAGGTGTGATACCAGGTCCGGGCATTACCGCGCAATGTGGAGGGAAACATCTTGCACATGAGTGCGTCTGAGGCGTTTTGAGCCTGCATGACGGAGAAAAATGCATGTAGGTGGTCGTCGGGATCTTTGGTGCCATCATACGTTTCAAACTGCGGCATCCTGAAACCGGGTAGATATGGCTCTTGGGTAATTTTGGTATTGAGAGGAGTGGGGATGGAGGTTGATATAGGTGGGGTCTGTGGTTGTAGGTTTTTGTTTTCAGCTAACAACTTTTCTATGTTGTCTAGCCTCTTTGAGACATCGGAGGCAGCTGGCTGGGGCGGGTTTTGGGGCTGGGGTGGCATGTGAGATTGTGCTTGGGAAGCAGTCGGGGCGACACTACGGACTGGGGAGTTGGCAGGCTGTTGAGCTGGTTGGGGGGCCACAGGGGGAGCTGGGTTTAGTAAATGGATAAGTGGGTCAGCGGGGTTATCTCTGGCCAGCAACTGAGCGAGCACGAGTTGGAAGACCCCGAATTGTTGTTGCATGGCATTAAGTTGAGCAGTTACAGGGTCGTTTGCCACGGCGTTGGGATATTGTGGATTATGTTCCCCAACTCCCTCCACCTGCTGATGTTGGGCGGTTGCAATTGGTGCATTCTGTGACACGGGGTTGACACTTGGGGGCTGGCCTCTTTGTTGGCCTTGGGGAGGACTCTCGCGCTGGGTTGCTCGTGTGTGTACCATCTTAACTTCTGGTGATGGCTTTTGTTCAGTTTCCCACAGACGGCGCCAATGTAGTTGCTGAATATCCTTGAATCCCTGCTTCGAGTTGATCCTTCTCCAAATAGTCCTACAAAATCCCGAGGTTGGTCCTCGGGGAGAAACTCCGATGCTTAAGTCAGTATTTTTCTGATAATCCTTCCTCTTTTTTGTTCCGCCTATTTATCGAGTCTTACCTTGTGGGCTTTGTCCCGCTTGGCAAGGCACCCACGTGGCTTGTCCACACCCACGTGGCCTAGTCAATCCAATAATGGTGACATGGTGCGCCTGACGGAGTAGACGTTTTAGGTGAGTGTAACGTGCCTTAACGGAGCAACCGCATTAAATGCGCGTGGTGTGTTTTGGCGGAGCAGGTTCCTTGAGAAGGGGTGTTCTGATACGGACAAATGATCAGATGAGGGCGTGCCTATTGTGGCTGTCATACACCCACGGCGAAGTGCCGAGGTGCGGTAAACTCTGAGCTCTGCAGCTGAGGTGCGGTTAGCTCTGAGCTCTGCACCTTGCCTTGTCTCGTATGGCTGCCCTTACACCTACCATGGTTTTCATCTTTCAAGAAATCCATTAAACATCATTTTTCAAATTTCTCCCCAACTCATCTCAAAATCAAAATGAAAAATTAAAAAAGCAAAAAAATCAAGATATATATTTTCAACATTCTTTGGTTTTTTTTTTTTGCTAACGCGAGGAAGTATAATTTTGTATTTGATCCGATTCTAAGAGCAAGAACCCATAAAACTGAAATGAAATCTATTTATGAATTATATGAATTAGGTAAGGATAAAATTTTAGATATACTTTAAATCAATTTTAGTTCTTAAAGATTTCTTAACTACGGGGCAAAAAAAAAAAAAAAAGTTAGTTGTACTTAGCTTCTTGCCTACATATACAGATAATGTGTGAATGAAACTCAATTGTAACTCTCAATTATTTCATTCATTTATTTAATAATTAAATCTAAAATTCTATTTATTTTTATAATTTATTAATATTTTAATTAAAGAAAAGTTATCCCATAGGTTATATTATAAGAGAGTTTAATTCAATGATTGATTTATTAACTATTTAGAAATATGAAAATCAGGATATCCTGACGCTTAAGACGTTCATTACAGTCATCCGTGAGTGGATCTTACCCTTGAGACCCACTTAACGAATGGTTGTGATGGATCTCCTGGGTGCCAGGATATCCTGGTTTTTCGAGCTCTCTTAACTAGTAACTTAATTTTATTTTAGTTTAAAAAGTTTTTTTTTTAAATAGTCTATAAATTTTGTAAAGTATTTCAGAATAATCTAATATACAAAACTTCCATTAGTTTTAATAGGAAAATAACAAAAAAAGTTAAATTAAAATTAGAATATAGTAATCCCAATAAGTAAATCAATTTACAATAGACTATGCAAACTATTAAAACATATCAATAATTATGGTTTTTGCTACAAAAAAAAATTATCAAGAGGAAAAATTGAAACAGCATATAATAAAAGTTACAATTTTTGAGACGGTGAAAAAAGAACTTATTATCTTCACAAAATTAGTTTTATTTCAAAATTAATTTCAATAGGTAAAAATGCACAAATAAATATAGTTGAAATTAATTTAATCAAACAAAATAAAATTACTGTTAGAAAATTATCAGATTAAATTAAACTGAAATAAAAGTAAAAAATAATAATGAATTTAAAAGATATTTAAAGATGATAGATAAAACAAAAAAGTATAAAAATTATTAAATTGTTTATTAAATTAAGTCTTTCGAGAGCTACCATTAATTATATATATATATATATATATGGATCTCTAAATTTTTAGAAAGAACAAGTTGGATAACAAAAATTTATTTCACTGTAGTCTTTTATTTATTTTTTTTAAGTTGATTTTGAGATGCGTTGGAAATATGAAGTTGAACAAATTTATCAAGACTTGTGACATAGAAAACATGTTCAGGACTTTTTTTTTTTATCATAGGATTAATTTTTTTTTTCTTGTTTTAATTTTTTTTTTTTGGCAAATTTAGTTAAAAATGAAAGAACTTATTTTTGTTAAATATAAAAGTATATTGACTAAACAACAATTTAACCTTTTTGTTTGACCGCTGTGATTTGATTTTTTTACGGAAACCAGCGGAACCGTTAACAAAGGGTTTCCTTCTGCATAAATAGCAGAGTTAAGGGCTTATAAGTCTAGAAAGATAGTTTAGCGTCGAAGAATAGGGTAAGTTCAAGAGCTTAAGATTTGCAATTATAATATTAATGTGCAACCAAAATTAAAAATCATCCGTTCATCTAAAGAAATAAAAATAAAATCATCCGTTATCAAAGAAAAAAAATTAAAATCATCTAAATATCTAATCTTCCACACAATATTTAAACCATAATCATGATGACCAAAAATTTCCATGATTGGTAAAAAGAGAAAAAATTTTCACGAACCATAGTTATCTCCAAGAATTGAAAGCCATTTTTCTAACTTTTCCAGTCTTCACGTTGCACAGCAGTAGCACAAGACCTGTAAAAGCTATATTATTATTGTGGTGGGGCAAAAGGACAATGAAAGCACCAATTAAATTGACTTTAAAGCGACAAGGACCAAAAAGACATCCCAGTCTTGGCGAATGCGCTCGAGTGATCATGATCGAAATACAAAAATTGGCTACTTTAAATTTCTTACTCGGAATCTTTATCTTTAATGCAACTTCGGGGAAAGCTGTTTTATTTGCCTATCCATGGGACTATATATTAATGTACAAGCAAACTTAAATATCACATCCATCTTCCATACAATATTGAAACCATCATTATGAGGGAAACTTTCCGTGCTATGCTTGTTCTAGTTGTTGTATTGTTCTTTGGAGCTGCAAAGCTTTGTTCCAGTCGGAACACGAGCTTTAGCTGTATAGAAAGGGAGAGAGAAGCCCTCTTGAAGTTCAAACTATGTTTCCATGATCCATCTCATATGTTGTCTTCTTGGAAAGGCAATGACTGTTGTGAATGGAGAGGAGTAGGCTGTGACAACAATAACAAATATGTTGTCTCACTTCAACTTAGGGGATCAGTATCTGATCGACTTTATTCGTACTTTATTGACGATCAACAATCTCAATTGTACTTGATTGACCATGTAGAGGAGGTTGTTTCAAGTTTGCTCGAGCTGAGACACTTGGAACACCTAGACTTGAGCAACAATAATTTCAATAGTAATCTTATTCCACCCTCCTTTGGCTCGATGAAGCAGCTGAGATACCTAAATCTCTCTTATGCGCAATTCAGAGGGAGAATTCCAGGTGAACTTGGAAATCTTACAAGGCTTCATGTTCTTGATCTTTCTCATAATTATTATGAGAGATTGAAGGTTGATGATGACATTCAGTGGATTTCTCATCTCTCCTCTTTGCAACAACTTGATATGAGTGGAGTAAATCTAAGCCATGCCTCATCAAACTTGTTCCAGGTACTTGGCATGCTTTCTTCATTATCATGGTTGAGTCTATCAGACTGTAGTCTAAAAAATTCTCACCTTCCATATCACAACCATCTCCTTAATTTTACATTGTTTGGAAATATTCAACACTTTGATATTTCACATAACTTTGTTCATGGTCCAATGCCTATTTTTCTCCAAAACATGACTTCATTGACATTTCTTGATATGAGTGGAGTAAATTTAAGCCGTACATCATCAAACTTGTATCAAGTACTTGGCATGCTTCCTTCCTTATCACAGCTAAGTCTGTCAAGCTGTAGTCTCAGAAATTGTCACTTGCCATCTCACAACCATCCCCTTAATTTTACATTGCTGGGCAATATTCAGCACTTAGATCTTTCAGCTAACTTTTTCCAAGGTCCAATACCTATCTTTTTCCAAAACATGACTTCCTTGATATTTTTTTATCTTTTTGACAATCAATTGAATGGGAGTATTCCAGATAGCATCGGACAACTTTCTAAATTAGAGAGCATAGATCTTTCTGGCAATCAATTGAGTGGGAGTATTCGAGATAGCATCGGGCAATTTTCTAAGTTAGAGAGCATAGATCTTTCTTTCAATCAATTGAGTGGGAGTCTTCCAAAAAGCATCGGGAAACTTTCTAAGTTAGAGAGCATGGATATTTGTTGCAATCAATTAAGTGGAAGTATTCCAGATAGCATCGGGCAACTTTCTAACTTAAAGAGCATGCATCTTCTTTTCAATCAATTAAGTGGGAGTATTCCAGATAGCATCGGGCAACTTTCTAAGTTAGAGAGTATGGATCTTGCTGTCAATCAATTGAGTGGGAATATTCCAAATAGCATTGGGCAACTTTCTAAGTTAAAGAGCATGGATCTTGTTAGCAATGAATTGAATGGGAGTATTCCAGATAGCATTGGGCAACTTTCTAAGTTAGAGGAAATAAATCTTGCTGACAATCAATTGAGTGGGAGTATTCCAGATAACATCAGACAACTTTCTAAGTTAGAGAGCATGTTTCTTTATGAAAATCAATTGAATGGGAGTATTCCAAATATCATCGAGCAACTTTCTAAGTTAGAGAGAATGGATCTTTCTCGCAATCAATTGAGTGGGAGTATTCCAGATAACATCGGGCAATTTTCTAAGTTAGAGTGGATAGATCTTTCTGGCAATCAATTGAGTGGGAGTATTCCAGATAGCCTCAGGCAATTTTCTAAGTTAGAGACAATAGATTTTTCTGGCAATCAATTGAATGGAAGTATTCCAAATAGTATTAGGCAACTTTCTGAGTTAGAAAGGATAGATCTTTCTGGCAATCAATTGAGTGGAAGAATTCCAGACAGCATTGGGCAACTTTCTCAGTTAGAGATGATGGATCTTTCTAGCAATCAATTGAGTGGGAGTATTCCAGATAGCATCGGGCAACTTTCTAACTTAGAGATCATATATCTTTCTGGCAATCAATTGAGTGGGAGTATTCCAGATAGCATCGGGCAACTTTCTAACTTAGAGATCATAAATCTTTCTAGCAATCAACTGAATGGGAGTATTCCAGATAGCATCAGGCAACTTTCTGAGTTAAAGATGATAGATCTTTCTAGCAATCCATTTGGTGGAAGTATTCCAGATAGCATCGGGCAACTTTCTAAGTTAGAGAAAATATATCTATCTGGCAATCAATTGAGTGAGAGTATTCCAAATAGCATCATGCAACTTTCTAAATTAGAGTTGATTGATCTTTCTACCAATCAATTGAGTGGGAATATTCCATATAGCATCAAACAACTTTCTAAGTTAGAGATGATAGATCTTTCTAGCAATCAATTGAGTGGGAGTATTCCAGATAGTATCGGACAACTTTCTAACTTAGAGAACATAAATCTTTCTGGCAATCAATTGAATGGGAGTATTCCAGATAGTATATGGCAACTTTCTAAGCTAGTGAACATATCTCTTTCTGGCAATCAATTGAGTGGGAGTATTCTAGCTAGCATCGGGCAACTTTCTGAGTTAAAGGGAATACATCTTTCTGGCAATCAATTGAGTGGAAATATTCCAGCTAGCATCGGGCAACTTCCTAAGTTAGAGATAATGGATCTTTCTGGCAATCAATTTGGAGCAAGATTTCCCGCATAGCTTTAATTGCAAAAGACAAAAATCATGGTTGATCTCTCTAATGCTAGCATCTCAGGTCCTCTTCTAGAAAACATAAGTCTTATGATGCCAATGTTGCAGGGATTATATCTTGAAAATAACCTCATGAACAATTTAGTTCCAAAGTTACTTTGCAATTTAAAATATTTGAGTGAACTTGATTTCTCAAATAATATGTTCTCTGGAAATATTCCAAAGTTGCTATGCAATTCATAATCTTTGTGATTTATTGATCTCTCAAACAATATGTTATCTGGAAGTATTCCTAATCTTTTGGGCACTCCCATCAAGTAGCCCGCCTTTACTTTCAAGCCCTACACCTATTCATATCACATCATATAAAACTGAGATAAAACCTATGTCCACTTGGATTAGATTACTTTATTAGGCTTTACCGGTTTTTTATTTGACCCAATTCTGAAAACCAAATACAATTAGCGGTAGCTCACATAAAAATTTCCAACATTCTCTCACTTGGGCAATGCTAATTGGTTTTAAATTTTTAAAACATATTTTTCTTCTTTTTTTTTAAATAAAAATGACTCTTGAGTCTAACACAACTTTAGTGGCCACAAATATAAATCAAAATCTCAGTACAGAATTTCGTTCAATGAAAATATCAATACCAAACTGTGTGGTCATTATGTCATTAATAACACAAGACCCCTCAAAATTACAAGTATCAAATATCTCCACTAAGATTAATTCCAACAGGTGTGATAAAGTGTAGTGTAATTTGACACAACATGATCCATACAATATATAAGATGTCAAAACCACAACGGTCTTCTTTATGGTTTTAAAGAAACCATTTTATCAGGATGTAATCCCTTTTACACTTCCCCAAGGAAACCTTTAAATTTTATTATGATTTCATAAAAAAACCCAGGCAATAATCTCCCCCACTTTTCTAGAAAAGTCTTTACACTTCAAAAGAAGTCTGTACACTTCTAAAGAAACCTTTATACTTTATACCTTAAGATCTCAAGATCAATATCTATATGAGCTCATAAAAATCATCAGTATAATGGACATGCATCGTTATAAAATAATAAGTGATATAATAAGTAAAATAAAATTTATTACTAACAAAGAAAGCAACTTCTCTCACTTATCAAGAATATCTAAAATAACTCTCATACATAACTAATAAAATTATAATCTCTTAATCAGTAAATTAATTAATATAGTCATAATAACGCATAACTATAATTATTATTCATAATTTCACTTTTATGTCACTTTACTTTAGATCAACAATTACCTTGCATATATCTTTTCCACCAAGTTCTATCAGTAAGTTATTTATATAGATAACTAACACCCATCAAATATAAAATATTCTAATGGAAACAATCCTCCATTATCCATTATTCAAAATATAACATGATCTTTAAACTTTAATCAAACACAAAAATACAAGAGTGACAAGATTTTATCAACTTTAATAAAGATATTTGCATCTTTTACAAGAATCATTTTCCATATAATTCATAACACATGTGTCTAAAAATTTCTCCATTGCAACCAACCTACTTTCTCATATCCATAATCTTTATCATTATACATTGAATGATTAAGAGTAAGAAACTGTTTAACTCCCACTAATTTTCAAGACACATTATTTTATCATAACCTTTAAATGTCTTCTAATTAAGGAAATTTATTTCCTTAAATAATTATGGGCATTTCACAATATCTTAGATTTTACATTACTCTTATCATAATCACTAATGCCTTCCTTTTTACCATTTTTCTAGTTGAACAACAAAATAATAATATTGTACAATTCAAATCCAAACTTAATCAAAACTTATGCAATCAAAATATGATTCACTTAAGAGATACATAAATTAACACCAATCATACATTGACAATATAATTTTAATAATAAAACTTTGTTTCCATAAAAGTGTCTTATAATATACTTTAATCCATAATATGGGTCACTTTGACTCACAAGAGTTCAAGACACAACTATACTTTACTTTATTTGCACTTTATGTTGATTAAATAAGTTCATAAAATTAAATCTTAACAAGTCAATTAGTAGGAAAATTAACCTTTAGTAAGTATGAATAAATACTTATCATCCTTACTAATTGCTTCCACTACTTCAATTTAATGCATACAACAATCACCTTTGGACAGAATCTTGCATGCATTAATATGAAAGTAACAGCTTTATATCTTAACTTTAATAGTTTATATGTAATCTTCCCAATAGATCAATTAGTTTTAATGACATAGTAATTTAATATAATCAATAGGTATGAAATTTTATTAAACTTTAGAAGTTTTATTATAAGTGAATTAATAAGAACAGTCTTATGGAAAATATTTCCCTTTGGGTAGAAAATTCTCTACAAAATCAAAGTAAAAAACCTTTACTAACCACTCATACTTCTTTCAGTCAATATGCACGATCACCCCCTTTGGGCAAATGATCATATATACTAATTTCAAGAAGTAGACATTCCAGAATTCTTATTGAGACATATGTGAATTTAATAGATGGCCCACTTTAGCAGTACCACCCACTTCAATTCATATACTCCCACTGAAACACTTACCTATAAATAATATATCATTCTGGAATCCTTATTGGGAAATATGTGAATCTCAATAGATGGTCTACTTTGGTAGTACCATCCACATAAACTCACAAGCTCCCACTGGAACAATTATCCATCAATAATGTAACATTTCAGAATCCTTATTAAAATATTAACTAATCTCCCACTGGAACAAAATTTCTTAATAACCAAAAAAAAAAAAAATTCTTAAGCGACAAAAATCATTAGTCTTAATAAATAAACTCTTGATATTCATATTAATCATAAAACATTATTAGGACTATCATCTATATATACGATTCTACAATTCCTCTCAACCATATCTTTTATAATTTTTAATAATAGTAATTCTTTAATTTATGAATTCAGAGAATTTTAAAACTTCTGAAAACACTTTTAATACTAAATGGTTCGCTTACTTTAATACTCAAAGAAAATCATGTAAGATTACTTCAGTATCTTAAATAAACCAAGATACATAAATTCTAAAATTTTTAAAACTTTATAAAATATCTTTTCTTTGAGATCTTAAAAAAACTGCATGCACTGCCATAATTAAGCTATGACCATTATGCATAATAGACATATAATTATTCCTTTAACGTAATTAATTACTAACAAAATCTATTGTATAACCAACAATTTAGCCTTAAATTATATGTCATGAGTTGTATCTAAACTTTAATTCCACAAAACCTCTTTATAGAATTCATATATTAGAACTCACATATGAAAACAAATATATTATCTTAAATAAAATATCAATATGAGTAAAATCATACTCAATTACCTTGCATGGTTGTACCATTGTAATTTACCGTAATACAACTTGACGAATAATCGAAACTATAATTCTCAACAATTCTTTGTGCACCTTTAATACATATTCTTTGAAAATTTTCTTAATTTCCATAGAATTAGTAGAAAATAACAATTATGCTTTATCCAAATGCATAATTAATTAATTTTATAGATAGTTTATTAGGAACTATAAGTATGTTTCTCTACATCCAAATATGAACACTTTATTTCCTTATTAGAAAATATAGCGCTAGGAAACCCATATGCTAAACCACATATGAAGAGAAGTAATCTTTTATGAGAACTAAAGTTTCACAATTATCTACTCATTTATCTATGACCATAAATTTCTTTATTAGTAGTCAAACTTAACAACTTTGCAAATAAGTAGTACAACAAATTTGAAAAAATTTAACTCAAGGATTTTACATTATATAAATAATGGATGCATATAAAACTTACATACCTCCAATTGTGGCTAAATGCTCTAACAAAATCCTGAAATTTAATTTTCAAGATGTATTTCATACCATAATATGCATCATAATATTCACAAACTTATTTCAAACCTAAAACATGAAAAACATATCTCATCAATAATTCATTTGCCACTAATCATATACCTTTAACCTCGAAATATTGACACATATTTTGTGTTACACTTAATATGTATTTTAATTTAGATGGAATAAATTAATATATATTTATTATATAAACAATTATTTTGATTTATAAAATCAAACCATATAATAAATATTCTTTATATACATATAATATAAAATAAGATTATATTAATAGATGTTTTTTACATAAAATCTGATACATTGTGTATAAATCTCAATACACAATATCAAAAGGTTTAAAACCACCTAATGCTCAATTGCTGTAAATTACCTAAGTGTCGACACCCTTACATTGTTTCAAACTTGCACAATAACTTATAACTGGTTATGTGTCAACACCTTCACCCATTATGGAAGAAACAAGTCCGTGTCGAACTTTTGGACCATTATTCAATTTCTAAGAACAGTAAAATAATAACACTGGTCCCTCAACTTTTATTTACATTTCTTTTTAAGCTAATTGAATTCCTTAACAGACTGAAATACCTAATCCCTATCAACTTCTTCTCCTCTTTACTTCCTATTGGGATTCCAAATCCCAAATGTTTTTTTTTTTTTCTCATTTTAAAATTAGTTATTTCAAATAAAGCATTAAATAACAAAAGAACATCATAACATAAACTCATAAATGATTCAACTAAATTCATCTCCATATCACATAATTATTCATGGAGATTATTTTAAATATGAAAAAAAAAAAGAATTAAATATTAATTAATCTTAAATTTAATATCTAAACATTAATTTGTAACCTTATTAGACTAGTAGGGACATATTTGCACTAAACAGAATTACTAAGGGACCAAATGGTAGTTTTTCTATTAATCATCTCTGCCACAATAACTTCCCTAGGTTCTAACTTTCTACGTTTAACAGGATGTTGGACAAAACCTATGGGTTCCATTGCAGATTCACAATCTACAAAAGCCCCTAATTTAATTTTTAATTAAACACATACATAACCTAATTAGAAAACCAAAATTTATCCACCGATTTCAATTAACATTACTAAAATTTTAATAATAACAAATATTATTTAGTTACCCACCAATTGTGATTCCTCTAAAATTATAATAATGACTTTAACTCAATTCGTCATCACCATAATTACTTTCT